TGAACTATATTACTATGAATTATTATCACTGCAATTATAATATCCCGTGGTAACGATAATTTATTATATTGGTTGTCCCGGCGATTTAAATTATTCTTAGTGTGTCTAGAAAATTGCAAGAATTCAATAATATATTTTATTGTAATGATAGGTATAAGACTCTTACCGGTAGGTATTGGACTTTTTATTAATAGTATCGGCTTAAAAATGCTACCAGGTCTAATAATTTAATAATTGTAAACCTAATAATTTATCCTCTGCGTAAATCGTCGTAAAACCATTGTGATGGATGATCAGTTGACTTAAGTAGAAATTTAAATTTAGCCACTTGTAAAAACTGCAGAGTTGTGCAAATAATTTTAATAAACTTTTAACTCGCTTGGGATAATCAAAAAAACCTTTAAAGTCATTGACATAATAATAATTGCATTAACTCTAGGTACTACTTTCGAGCTTAAAAAAAGAACTAAACGACTTAACAATTCAAATTACGACCATTAAGTTATGATTATAATTAATAACTCAAATAATATTATAATAATATTATGAATTTAAAGTTTATACAGAATTATTTAAGCAACACAGAGAAAAGTTTTTTTTTATCAGTAAAAATTGGAACTTTTTTTTGTTTATTAATGGTTGCCATTGATTGCAGATTATCATAGTAGGTACACTAGTTGAAATAAGTACATTTTTTTTGTATATAAATGATGATTATCATTAGTTACTCGGGTAGATCAGGTTATACATAAAATCGTCGAATTTGCATGACCTCGATTGAAGTAACAATATATTATCTTTTTTTTTTTTATTAAAATATAAAATATAACATTTACAATTTGTATACAAAAAAAATACAATAAGCAAATATGAAAACAAAATATGACGGACAATAAGACGGCGAAGCTATCCAGTGATAGGACCCATAGTCGTGACTGAATATATTATCTTAAAACCAAATGTGTGTTCGAAAATCTCAGAGATTCTTTTGGTTGATTCCCCAAGCATTATATTGTATTATTAGGTATTTGGGTAAAATATGGATTGAGTGATAAAATATCATTTTAGTTTACCTAATTACAATAAAGTGCTTAAATACTTAAAGTATAATATATTATTATAAGTTCATTGTTTTTTGAAAAGTTATTTTTAAACTCATATCATTAGCTATTATATAATTATTTACCTACACAAGCACCTAACATATACACATTGATGATTGATATCGGCATAATATTATGAAACACATCGTGCATAATGGTATTATAAAAGAATTCGTGGTGGATCGTAAAACTACTGTTCAAAAAATTACGTTTCGTTCCGTCGTTTTCGAAAGAACATCATTAATTTACGATGCTTAAACAATGAATAGATATATTGTCAAATACATCATCTCATCTGTAATTTGTCAAACGCGCATCTAGCGAATTGAGGTAGGTACCTTCAACTTATTACAAAATATAATAATTACAATCATAATCATATAATACTTAGCAACATTGTTTGCAATAACTTTTATACGATCCGAAAAACGATCTATTACACCACACGTGCGATGGCCAAAGCTCTAAAGCCGTTCAATTTAGGTAGAATATACATATTACAGGTAGGTATTACATAGATACGATTTGATAATTTGTAAGTACCGCAATCTTATTACTTTGCGATGTATCCAATCGCTGCAAACTTATAGGTATTGAATCAATGATTGATCGATAATAATTTAATGTTAAATGATTGATAATAATTTAATGTTTATTGATTGATAATAATTTGATGTTAATTGATTGATAATAATTTAATACTAATAGATTGGTAATGATTTAATTTCAATTGATTTATAATAATTAACGTTTATCCATCGATGCCGCGTAAAGTTAGGCCCCGGCGCCAGGGCACAAACTAATTATGCGTTCCTTTAAGGGGGCATACAATTTTAAAGAAATATCGGTAAAGAAGAGCGGCATTAAAATGTTCGCTTTTGGGTGGAAAATATTTAAAGACGGGTCTGCAAAATTGTCAAAGAGGCATTATTCGATAATCGATAAAACTAATTGACTATAGAAGTGTAAAAAAACAACGTTCGATTGTCCGTCTCAATGAAATGCATTTCCTTTATTATATTATGGATCATTCCTTTAGAGCTCTGATTCGGTTATCATTATAATCGTCGTTTTTTTAGTGACTAATAGTCTTTTATATATTATAGATAGGTTGTATACAGATTAGGTTATATGGCTATATACATTATCATATCATCATAATATATCATACTTGTACAACGATTCTTAAAAATTTTGTCTCGGTCAAATATAAATGCTTAAAAACGTATATCGTACCTATATAATATTATGATATTATTGTTAAAATGAATCTTGTAATTTTGTCAGTTACCGTGACAAATAAAAAAACCACAGCATAATATTCACGATGAAGCTAGTTTATAAAATATCATTAACACGCGTTACATATACTATTACTTATTAGTGCTCAGCAAAATTTCAAAATTAGTGAGTGAAAAAAATACGGAAGGGATCAAAAGGTGAGCGCAGTCAAAAGGTTTTTCCGAGCAGTTTAATTATTACGCGGCTAGGGCGGCGGTTGGAACGCAAACTCAGGAGATCAAAAGCAATTCTCGGTCGAGCTGCGATCGATGTGTACACCGTTCGTATCCGTTTATAAAACGAGCACTCTAAAATCATTTACGTGCAGTGTACACAATATATATATATACCCTTCTAGTGTGGTGTACGCCTAGACCATATAGTACGCAAACGAGAATAATAATAAGAACTCTGCAGTGCGTTGTCCTCTGAGCATTTTCCAAACTAATGCACGGAGATAAAGCGGTTGAGCGAGATTTGCACGCTTTACGCAATACCGCGATACGTCTGATACTCGAGCCTCATGCTCTAAAAATTCTCGAAGAAATGACGATGACGACGTCGGAAATAATAATATATTGGGCGTATAATGTGATTATGTCATGTCGGTGTCGTGATAAACAAAAAAAATCTAAATAAAATTTGTATGGAAATTATTGAGAATGATATAAAAACGCAATTCGTACAAAATGATAAAGCAAACCAATGATTCACATAATTGTATGTGTACTACACATGTAGTGAATTGTCATGCAGCCACCTATACAGCAGAAATATTATTGAAATGGGCGTTGATTGATTTTGTTTAAAAAAAATATTGATCGAAAATTATTATTATTCAAACGAATTGAAAAACCAAGTTAGGAAACCTCACTCTACGAGAGTGGTAAATCTCCGGTTTCTAAACATATTTTAATACAAAACACAATGAACTTTAATTTCGCATATAATATCTACACCTATACAATTAAAATGAATTTGATAACCTTTATTATTTGGTGGCTATTTTTTTAATAATAACTGGTATTTGAATTTTCATTTAATACTCATATTTAGATGTGCATTATTAATACTGGCTAGTGTGGATTTACTTCAAAATATAAAACTGTTATAAAACCTTAATACAGACAATCGCAATTATGGTACCTACATACTGATAAGTGGTAACTGACGGACGGACGAGCACAGCGGAAATATAATAGGTGTTCTAAACTTGCATTATACTTTAGAAACCTGAAACCGTATGTCTACGCGATGTTAATATCCCTTCGATTCAAACGGGTTCAGAAGTAGACGTTAGTTTAAAACATCCAACAGGTGTCGACAAAAATACAAAATATAATATAAGTTTATTACATCACGTTTTACGTTGTATTCTACAACTACAGCAGACGGCTATAAATTATTGTTCCGTGTAATAGTAGTTTGTAGTTTATTATAACATTGTTGTATTATAAACGTGGATTCGTGTGAGATTTCAAATTTATTAATGAGCATATATATTATACCGACCGTACGCAATGCGTAGTAACGAGAAAAAAGATTTAATCGACTGTCAAGTCGGGATAATAGATATTATTGCAAAAGCCTCGAATGTGAAATACTCTGATAAAGTCGAATGTGCACAGTGCGCACACGTCATAATATATTCTAAAATTACCTATATAATATTAGTACTCTAATATTTTCTATAGGAAATTAAAGATTTATTTAAGATTTTTTGAAATAATTTTTTTGTCTAATAGTGTACAAATCCACGGGCACACTATAGAAAATTTAATTTGCAAATAGGCTTTACAAGTTTCGAGTTCAAAAGAAATAAAAAGAAATTTTAGAAAAAATGGAAAAAGGGAATTATGCGATTCGCGGTCTACACTCTACACCCGTCACCGCAGGCATGTCGATAGTAACCGAGGCAGCAACGGCATAATAATAATATAGTGGACGTGCACACAATATCATTGTGACGGAGGTATATAATTATGAACAATTCCAAGCTATTTAAATATGAAATTTTTATTGAAAAACCATACTGAAACACGATGCCAACGTAGTAATCAGACATATTTTTGTCATTTAACAATATTATGGTTTAATATAATATTATACATTAATATTAAAACATTTATGTCATGGTGAATGAAAAATGTATTAGTTTAATGATTCAATAAAATTTAATAGACCAATCATGGGCAACCAAAACATGTTTTAGAGACCGTTAAAAGGGCTTACTATGATTCGTTAAATGTTTGGTGATTGTTCATATAACCCAACATTACACGTAACTATAGAATATATTATAATACTAGTCCGTAAATCTTATTTTGCTAAACACGCACAGTAGAAATGAAAATAATATAATATTTTAAAAGCATATATAGCCACATAGGTACTTGTACCAACTATATTATGTGGGTAGGTAATAATAATATTCTAATAACAATGAGAGACGTTTGACTATAATAGTGAGCTGCACACGTTGATGCGGTATAATTATTACGAAATGGATCTTTTACCATATTATATTATTACCATTACGAAGTATTATAGTATTATTATACCGCGCTGGTTACCAAAAATAAGATGTAATTATAAAATAACAAAAAAAAAACTCACCTGTGCGGTAATACTTGGATTAACCGTAGGTGCAGTGCACAGTATTGTGATGTAGTGCTGTCTGTGGTGCAAAAATACCCACCTTAATTTATGAAAATATTTTTTCACCGCGAGATGAACTTATTTCTCAATCGAAATTAGCGAGAGCCGGTGTTGTGACTTGACGAGATAGTACGACAGTAATAATAATACGCGGTGCCGACCGTGAATATTAATATTATAATATTGCCTCAACGATCACGTGCGATCGATAAACAGCGTACACCGGCAGTCTGATAACGCGCACGTCTTTATATACCTAGGTTTAGGTGGCAGAAAATATATATATGTATGGTCCTCCACTGCAAACGCCGCCGAAACGTAACGAGAGCGGGGAACGAGAGAAAAAAAAATTGAAATAAATATAATGAGCGAAGCGTGCAAAAAAAAAATCCCCAAAGACTACCACATAACTACCTATCATATTTGTCTAATTTTTTTTTTTTTAAATCGGATCGCCTCTGAGAAAGCCTGGCTCGGACGTGCAGGGCGTTTCGGGACTAGGAAAACGTTTAGGCGTGGAAACGTGCAATGACGGTGAAGGGGAGGTAGGAGATCTTCTCGTGGTGGGGTTGGACGATCATCCGCTGTCGTTATTATTATTATTATTATTATTATTATTATTATTGGCAATGATCGACGATGCGTTTTATTTGTTTTTTCAAACCGTTTTTCACCTTGGCACTGTCGTCGACGTCATCTTCAAACCTGCAGTGACGGAGACCCGGTATAATATACGTCTTACATAACAATAATAATATTATGGTATTAAACCGCCGCAATAATATTCCACGTATACAGTAATAATGATAATATGCACTATAATAATATAATTATTTGTGGATCTAACTATTGATCCGTGACTCCAAGGGCAAGGGCGAGCACAGGGAACGATGTATAACAATATATTGTGTCCGTCATCTCACCGAAAATCATTCAAGGTCATGTAGAGTGAGAGAGCGAACTGCTCATACGTGCTTGATAATTTATTTTTTCGGGATGGTTTTTGAAGTGAGTATACATATAATCGTATATCGAACGAGTTTGTAATAAATATAGATATAAAGCCATTAGACACGACAACTGGACGATATAATATTATGCAATTGTTGCAACAAACCGGCTAATCTTCTTATAAATTGTATAAGTACCTGCTATATAGCTACATTAGTGCTGCGGTTTTATATTTGAACTTTGATATACATACTAAATATTGATATTATGATTGTATCAACATTTTTAACATTATAGTAATATGATTTTCTACTATATTCACTTCTAAAATTGATAAAAAAGTTAAAATATTATTATGACTCCATTATAGTATAAAATATTTGTAGACATGGCCAACGGTGACACGGTGACATGGCCCACAAGATAACATTTAGGTGCATTTTTTATGTACTAAGTTCTACGTGGTGCCTACTAAAAAATAGTATTTATCACCAAATATACACCATCTAATAAATTGCAAAATCATCATAAAATATGGCTGATTAAAACATAATATACTCGTATGTATATTTTCAATTATATATCATACCTATTATATAATTAAAAGATATGTAAAAATATGCACCAAATATTCTTAACTATAGATATTCCATTCGTGTCGTAATAATTATTACTGAATTCATTGAATTTACATAGCAATAAATCTGACACTAAAAAACAACACGAAAATCCAACAATTTTTAGGTAAATCGAGATCTTCGCCCGAGAAACTGACTTAAATATACGGACTACCTACAACATAAAAAACAAAACAGAGGTAGGCGCGTTGATATATTATGTTTACCGTACAATACAATTTGGACTGTCACCACTCAGCGGGAATTTTCGGTAATACAATTATTTAATTAGCATTTATTATGTTACGGGTGCATATCTTTTTTGCTCTACAGAGTATAATATATTGGTAGAATGCGCGTTGAAAAAAATCTCCAGCTTACAAAAATCGTACCAAGAAAAATTTTTTTTAATTAAAATCTTTAGGCCTGTATGTGAATAATAAACCCGACATAAACATACTAATATATTGGAGGTCAGAATGTCTCAGACAGAATAACACTATATACTAATAAGTCGCATAGCACGCGAAATCATTTGCAGACTGCAGTTAGCTCAGTAAGCTGTAGTCGCATCTATATTATAGCACTAAAAATGTATTAGGTTTAAAATGTCGTTGGTTTTAAATGTGTAGAGTTTTACTCACCATTTGTTTACTTATATTACCATGAGCATAATAACATTTCGTATATTAATATTGTACCAACAAGTCGAGTCTAGTAATTGTTAGTTATAGCTAACGCCTATACAATATATACATAGGTATAGCTGACAACAATGAAATTGTTATTTACAACAGTTTGAACAAAAAACTGACAAATTGTAATTGTATTCTTGGGCATAATATTATATAACTCTGCAATATACTGGCACAATAAACACATCAAAAACCGATCACAAAATATAATTGGTTTTAAATATTAAAACGTCATTAAATTTTGGATTTTGAGGGTGCAGCTAAAGTTATTCCCAAACAACACCCTTGTAGATACGACTGTAAAGGTATAAATGAGTCCGGAGCGGTAGTGAGGCGGGAAATGAGTGTGATGAGCGGAATTCGATTGCTGAAGCGAGAAAAAAGGAAATGGATTTCGGCTGTAACGGCTGCAGCGTAAATCGCAATATATGAACATAGCCGCAACTGGGCTACCTTTCCCGTTTCCGCCACATACAAATACCTAAAGGATATAGCATTTTTAATAATATTAAATAATTGCAGCCATTAGAGGAGCGGAGAAATTATTAATTAATTAATAAATAAATAGATTAAAAATAATATAAATTATTAAATTAAATAGAGACAATTTTGATTTATGTATGAGTAGTATGACGCCTACTATATGTTTGTTTACGAGTAAAAAAAATTAAAAATTGAAAACAAAGTTCCTCATAGTAATTGCAAAATTTTCTTACTACAGTAATTATTCAAATATTACAAATACTTAGGTAACTTAGGTACTTAGTTCTTTTTTTTATAAGGTTACTTATAAAAGTAAAAAAGTCTTTTTAAACGAAACTCTTTAAAATTAAATATTATTTCGTAAATATGTTTCTTAATAATTTACCTTGAGCCGTATAATGATAAAATAACTTAAATATAGGAAATAACAGTTATAAATATTATAATATTATTGCTTGGTGTAGTGCTGTGTGTACATTCAGTTTTATACGCGCTCTGAGTGTACGGCACCGGCTGGTGTTACTAGTTCCCAGATGGGTGACCGCCAGGAATTTTTAGTAACAAATCCTTGCCACACATACACAATAAGTGATCTCAAACCAACTGTTCCCCTTCACGGTACTTTAGTAGTTGAAGCTTAAATTCTAATTAAAAAAAAAAAATTATAATATTGTGTGTAAAGTGTAATACATATAGGAGTATAGGACATAGGTATACAGTAGATTTATATATTATGCGTACTAAACATACGTTATACATAAACTACGATTATGATTCTAAAAGTTGTAAGACGGAAAAGTAAATCGTATGGTTTGGTCAGAAAAGCGGATCTACCAATTTATGATTTTGTGGAAAAGTGAACAGGCCTAAAAAACAAAGATATATTTTTGGCGAAAACCGGCTAAAGTATACTGTCACGTACCGACTGATAAGCGCCATATGTATGGCCCGGTATGGGTAATTATGTATCATATGAGCTCGGACGGTCCCTATCGGCCTTATTTTTTTAGGCATACAATTGTGCATGCTATATTATTTTTATTTCCATGCAACATTGACAAATAAAAGTTTTTCAGGCTGTCCAAATTAAAGCGTTCCATTTTCAATTGGGACAATCAGGATGGCGCAAAATAGGTTAATCAAGTAAATACGATTTTCAGGCGTAAATTGAATCTGATTGTTCATAAATCATACTTCATATCCGATATCTGTCTGAAGTTCGTGAATAATTTATAAGTTACGGCGGGGTAAATATTCTTTTTTAAATATAGTTTTAGTGAACCCATCATTTTCAATTTTTTTGAAACTTCAATTAAATAGCCACAATTTTTTTCTAGAAACAAACTTTTAATACTTTTTTGGTTTCTTTTACTTATAGTAACTAAATTATAAAACGTGATATGTTAATGGTGGTTTAAAGGAGGCGATCAATCGAAACGCAGCTGATTTCTCTCTATATATTTTGATTGTAGTAGTGCACACTGTACATCAACCGAAAATGTCCTCTCTGGCTCTCTCGCACTATTGTCAGCTGCCTTTGGGACGGTAATAACGTAGCGGTGACTTTGTTTAACCGTCCATCATCGAGTATTCGGTTCGTTTCCAAGACGAAACCCCTGCGATTGTCTTTTGAATTGTATCATAGACCACTTAGTCCGTCTTGGTCTGTACGATTAAAAAAAAGTTTTGACACAATAATAAGATAAAATTGAGATAAATAGTCAAGTCGAAGTATAAATATTAAATGTATACTACCTAATATATATGTATATTATTATATAGGTATTAGGTATAATGCATAATATACAAATAGAAGTGATTCTGAAAATGATTAAAATTACGTATTATAATGAAATTGTATTATCTACACAGTAAGTTTAGCATAATTTACATATATTACAAGTATTTAACAAGACTAAACATTTCAGTCCTTATATGCTCGAAGTTTTGACTTAATTTTGATAAATTCGAGTTTGTTACCTTGAATAATACCTAACTACGAATTATCCCGGGTGATTTTTTCCTCCTTTAACATAGATTAGTTATCGATACTAAATTATAATACTTATCATACTAGGTTTTATAAGTCTATACTTATTATAGTAATGAAGCATGTTTTGACTTTCTATATTATATTGTGAAAACTGAAAATTTCAAATGGTGCACCGATGCTAACTTGATACCGGATAACGATAAAAAATGGCCCATCCATCGTTTGGGCATCACTTTATTATGTTGCTAATTTTTTATAAGAATTCAGTTTTGCGTCACCCGTTTACTTAAATTATCATACACCATGAGCATCAACGTATTTACCAATATCACTAGAAGAGATCAGCAGTATTCAAAAGCCCAAGTTGTTTATAATAACTTTCAAATTTGAAGTTCGTTGTATTCAATATTCAAATATTGAGTAGGTGCAATTGTTTGAAAATATAACATAAACTTAAAACTGGCTATATTGCGACAAGATAGAACGAGTGAATAAGA